CACTCTGTCTGTGAAATATAAAATACAGTAATGTTCATTATACATATTTTGGCAAACAAGTAACGTAGTGAACTTAGCATCATAAATCCTGCTGCCGAGGGTGGACTCTGGAATCCTGAGTGGCTGGCCTGTGGAGGGGCCTGGGGCAGACGTCTCCACTGCCCTGTGCCTCAGGTCTCTGTTGGCAGACGGCCATAAGGTGGCATCGCTCCCTCGCAGGGTGAGGGTTCATGGCCAGTGTTGGGGTAAAGCTTGCCTGGCCTGGCATACAGCCATTTCCCTGGAAATGCTGGCTTTATGATTATGACTGTGGCTAACATCTTCATGCATTGGTTACAATTGAGGAAAAAAAAATGCATTATCTAGGCTGGGCGCAGTGGCTCACGCCTGTAATCCCAGCACTTTGGGAGGCCGAAGCAGGCAGATCATCTGAGGTCAGGAGTTCGAGACCAGCCTGGCCAACATGGTGAAACCCTGTCTTTACTAAAACTACAAAAATTAGCCCGGCATGGTGGCATGTGCCTGTAATCCCAGCTACCTGGGAGGTGGGAGGCTGAGGTGGGGGAATCCCCTGAACCTGGGAGGCGGGGGTTACAGTGAGCTGAGATTGTATTCCAGGCTGGGCAACAGAGCGAGACTATATATATATAAAAAAAGCAAATCTATATTATCCATTCTTTGCCAAAATTGGGGTCATTCTGTAGTCTATGTATATTCTGCTTTCTTCGTGTTACAGTGAGAACAACTTTTTCATCACTAAAACGCCTTCAAAAGCTTGGTTTGTGAAGGGCCAGTCTTTAATAGTTCCTGGCTGCTGGGCACTGAGGTGGCTTCTGTGCTCACCCAGCTCCATGGATCCCAGGCCAGCAGCTGCTCCTTCTCCCTGGGGCCGGCTTTGCCATTTGCCCTTTGCCCCTGCCGAAGCCCACATTCAGCACAGTCTCCGCTGACCCCCCTCTGCCCCCACTTGGCTGCCTCCATGACCCCCGGACTGCTTGTCTCTCACGTTCCCCTGGGGCAAAAGTGCTCACTGTTCTTCCTGTGGCATCTCCTTCCTGGTCCCTGGTCAGAGGGTCCCTTTCTGAGGTCCAGGCTCCCTCAGCCCCAGTCTGTGCCCACTCAGGGCCTCCCCAACCCCGTGCCCCGCTGGGTCCCAACCCTCACCCCAGCAGGCCTTGCTGCAAGTTGGCGGAACTAAATCCGGTTGTGTGGCTTCTTGTCTCAGACAAGAGCAGATGACCCCTGATTCTCCACCTAGAATCAGAGTGAGTGGGACGTTAGCCCTTCATTTTTTGATGAGGCCAGGGTGGGAGCCATATTGCCACCGGGGCAGAGCCTGGCCCAGAGTGCACTGTGGCCCCAGGCAGGCCGCTGTCCATCTCCGGTGCATGGGGAAGGGGCGGTGGTTTTAGTGGGGCCCGTGTGGGGTGCTGAAACAGCTGTGTAGAGACACTCCTTGCTGCTGTGCACTGAGCTGTGTTCAAGGTAGGTAAGCATTGATATCCCACTCTACCGAGGGGGAAACTGAGGCCCTGAGTTGATGTGATTTCCCTGAGGTCACAGTGAGGCAGTGAGGAAAGGGATTTGACCCAAACTGTCTGATAGCAGTCACCGAATGAGTGAGTGAGTGAGTGAAAGGTGAATGTCAAGTGCTGGAATGTAAAGCACTGGCCTGGCAGAGCCCCCAGAGCTGGGACTTGGCCCAGGGAGGCAGGCTGGGAAGGCTTCTTGGTGGAGGGGACCCAAACTGGCCTCGGAAGAGGCAGCAGGGAGGAGGGGTCAGTGCCAGGAGACCCAAGGTCGAGGTGAGGGTGGACAAAGGTGAGGCCAGGCAGCTGGGGCAGGAGCAGGGCTGGAAATGTGTTCACTCAGCCACTCCTGCCCTGCACATCTCTGTGCCTCCTGATAAGCCAACTGGTTGATCTGTGGGTGACAGGCCTTTCAGGGATGCTGGAGGAGACACAGGCCTAACCCCATGGCCTCAGGAATGCCCTCACCCAGCCTTGTCTTTTCTTTCAGAGCTCCCCTGAACAGCAGCTGCAGCAGCCATGGCCCCGCCCTGGGTGCCCGCCCTGGGCTTCACACTGGCGCCCAGCCTGGGGTGCTTCGTGGGCTCCCGCTTTGTCCACGGCGAGGGTCTCCGCTGGTACGCCGGCCTGCAGAAGCCGTCGTGGCACCCGCCTCACTGGGTGCTGGGCCCTGTCTGGGGCACGCTCTACTCAGCCATGGGGTAGGTGGGCGCGCGCGCTGGCCTGGGGATGAGCCTGGCCCTTTGCAAGGAGAGGCCTGGCCCAGGACAGAGGGTCTCCTCCAGGCGGGCCATGGGCCACGGCATGGTTTCCCCAGCCCCATTTGGCAAGCCAGGGTGGGGAAGCTGTGGGCCTGTTGATTGCACAACTGAACTTTCTCCTCCTGGGCCCCTGGGGGGACGGGTCAGATGCTCACCCCACCCTGGCATCCCTGCCATGTTCACAGCTCCAGGCGGAGGCCGGCTTAGTGTGTGAAGGTTGGCCTTGGGCAGTGGCATGGATGCTTTCCAAGATTAACAATGGCAGTGACAGCCCCGAGAGCAGCTCCTCTGTTGAACTCCTGCCCAGTGCCAGGCTCATCTCATTCATACTCAACGCCCCCCATGATAAGGGGCCTCCCAAGGACACAGGGCTTGCAAGTGTGGACTCCGCACAGCCCCCTTCAGGCTGAGTCTGGCCTGAGTCCCTTGGGACTAGACCAGGGGAATTACACCTGGAAAGGACGTGCTGGGAGGGGCAGGGCACCTCTTGGTGGCTGTAGAGGGGACTGCACCCAGGAGGCGGGGAATTGACTGCCTTCTGGAATGTTCCCTGCATACTGGTTCCGTGTCAGCCCAATGCAGGGTGGGGACACAGGTGCCAGGCACTCCAGGGGGCAGATAGCAGAGGCCAGGCCAGGTGCCCAGCTCTGATGGGAATAAGGCCCTGGAACCTGGGTGTCACCTGGGCCTCACCCCTTCCGGCCCAGGCCCTGCCCAGCCAGGCTCCCACACTTTCCTGGCTCCAGTGTCCCCACCCTGCTTGGCCTTCCTATACCACCTGGTCCCAGCCTGTCTTTGGGGGAACTTTTTGGGGCTCCCTGTGGCTCTGGATAAGGCAAACCCCTCGTTGGTAGGTGAGAGTCAGGGCTCTGGCCCTGGCCGACCGGACTTTATCCACTGATGGCCTGCCAAGAGATCTCAGTCACTTCACCGCCTGTGCCTCAGTCTCCTCACTGTAAAGGGGGTGCTGATACTGCCTGCCTTACAGCATTATCAGGAAGCTGAAATGAGTGAATGCTTGGGAAGTGGTAGGGCCTCCTCATAGGTAGGGCTCCTGTGAGTGCCGGAGGGCATCGGCTACTGTTGCTGGTGGTGTTACTGTTGCCCTGTGTTAACAGCTCCCATCACCAGGCCTCCCCCTGGACCTCACCCTGCAGTCACAGACTGACTCGGGGTCTCACATCTGCCTCACAGTCACCTCACAGCCTTTGCATGTCCTGTTTCCTCCCCTGAAAAACTCCTATTCATCCTTTAAGGCCCAGCCCAAATGTCCTATCCTCTGTGCAGTGCCCTGGCTAGGTTAAGAGCCTCCTCTCTACCTAGTCACACCATGTGGTTCCCCTTCATAGCAGTGACAGTGATAATAATGGCAGGTGTGTATTGAGTGTCCTATATGCTGGGTATCGCATGAAGCACTGCCAGTGTGCTAACTAGAATCCCTACAGCAACCCTATGAAAAATGAAGGCCCAGAGAGGTCAGGCAACTTCCCTGAGATCACACAGCCGTCAGTGTCAGGTCACACATGAGCCATCACTGTGTCACTCGGAGGTGGGCAAGGCTCCTGGCCTTGCTCCTAATGGTGCTCTGAACTGCGGCCTCTGTTTCAGGTATGGCTCCTACCTGGTCTGGAAAGAGCTGGGAGGCTTCACGGAGGAGGCTGTGGTTCCCCTGGGCCTCTACACCGGGCAGCTGGCCCTGAACTGGGCGTGGCCGCCCATCTTCTTTGGTGCCCGACAAATGGGCTGGGTAAGCGTGGCTACGGCATGTGTCCCTGATCCCTGGGTCTGACCCTTGGAGGCCCTGGGGCATCACATAGGACACTGGGTCAATGTAGGCGGGGCCAGGGGAGGCAAAAGGCCATGTCTCTCTAGCTCTAAGCAGCCCACGCCCTGGAGCCTCCCCTTGACTGACTCTCCTTCAGTGAGGGAAGCTATTAAGGCAGAAAGGGTTGCAGGGTGGGTTTGGGGGCTACAGTATAGGAAAACCCACATGAAGTCTGGTACTGTGTGGGCAGGGTCACTGGCCCCTCTACACGACAGCTTTTTTTTTTTTTTTTTTTTTGGAGACAGCGTCTTGCTCTGTCGGCCAGGTTGGAGTGCAGTGGCGAGATCTCAGCTCACTGCAACCTCTGCCTCCCAGGTTCAAGCAATTCTCCGGCCTCAGCCTCCTGAGTAGTTGGGACTACAGGCACATGCCACCATGCCTGGCTAATTTTTTTTTTTTTAAAAGAGAAAGGGTTTTTTTTTTTTTTTTTTGGAGACAGCGTCTTGCTCTGTCGGCCAGGTTGGAGTGCAGTGGCGCGATCTTGGCTCACTGCAAGCTCCACCTCCCGGGTTCAGGCAATTCTCTTGCCTCAGCCTCCTGAGTAGCTGGGACTACAGGCGCCCCCGACTATGCCTGGCTAATTTTTTGTATTTTTAGTAGAGACGGCATTTCTCTGTTAGCCAGGGTCGTCTCGATCTCCTGACCTCATGATCCGCCCGCCTCGGCCTCCCAAAGTGCTGGGATTACAGGCGTGAGCCACTGTGCCTGGCCTTAAGACAGGGTTTTATTACCATATTGGTTAGGTTGGTCTTGAACTCCTGACCTCAGGCGAACCACCCGTCTTGGCCTCCCGAAGTGTTGGGATTACAGGCGTGAGCCACTGTACCTGAAAAAGAGCAGGTTTTTGTTTGGGCCTTGTAGTAGTGCTGGAAGGTCAGCGCTGCCCTCCGTGGAGGCTCTGAGCTCAGAGAGGGGAAGGGACCTGCAAGACCTCTCTGAGCCACCACCGCACCCTCGAACAAACCGAGTTCACTTCAGGCATGTCATGTGCACCCCACACATGGCATGGGTCAGGCGGGAGGACTGTTCCCATTTCACAGATGAGGAAACTGAGGCTGAGATGGGGGAGGGGGTTGGCCAGGTCACTCAGGGGTGGAGTGGGGGTGAGTGAGGTTCCTGACTCCCAAATCCAGCAGCAGTTGGGCAGTGGGACACGCACTTGGGTGGACGTGGTGCCTCAGGCCTCCCTGTCCTTCCTCCCCCAATCTCTGCAGGCCCTGGTGGATCTCCTGTTGGTCAGTGGGGCGGCGGCAGCCACTACCGTGGCCTGGTACCAGGTGAGCCCGCTGGCCGCCCGCCTGCTCTACCCCTACCTGGCCTGGCTGGCCTTCGCGACCACACTCAACTACTGTGTGTGGCGGGACAACCGTGGCTGGCGTGGGGGCCGGCGGCTGCCAGAGTGAGTGCCCGGCCCACCAGGGACTGCAGCTGCACCAGCAGGTGCCATCAGTGATGGTGGCTGTCACGCTTTCACAACCGCTGGGCCTGCTAGTCTGTCAGGGCCTTGGCCCAGGGGGTCAGCAGAGCTTCAGAGGTGGCCCCACCTGAGCCCCCACCCAGGAGCAGTGTCCTGCGCTTTCTGCATGCTCAGAGCATGTTCTCGGAACATGGAATTTTATAAGCTGAATAAAGTTTTTGACTTCCTTTACCATGGCCTTTTTGCTTGGGTGGGACCCCCGGCCACAGGGAAGAGGGGGAGCTGGGGCTGCGCTGGAGCTCGTCTCTGCGGGATCTGCCTGGGCTGCCTTCTCCACACAGGGCTGGATCCGGCTGGGGCTGCCCCACGCTTCCTGGGACGCTCCCGAAGCCCTGCAGGAGATGAACAGAGCAACCCTGGGTGCCACCCTGGAGCCCACACTGGCGCAGACCCAGCTGGGGCCGTGGGCTTCGGCAGAGGGAGGGGGTCCTGTCCACTTCCCATGGCTTCCAGGATGCTCAGCCCGGGCCCTTGAATGGCTGGGCCCACAACCAGTGTCCAATGCCTAGTCCTGCCCAATGCGTGGCCCTCAGCTGGTTTTACCCAGGACAGAGCTGAGGGTGCTGACTGCCCCGTCCCCCAGGGGCCCAGGCTTGTGGCAGCCTGACTGCACCAGGGATAGCCCCACAAACACCCAGGTGGCTCAAGAGGGTGTCCGAGGCAGGAAAGGTTAGGTCCCGACTCCAGCAGACAGGGCCTCCTTGCTGGCCCAGAGCGGCCAGGGTTGGAGGCGTCACAGCCACTCACTCCCTCACCCCGGCTTCCAACTGGGCGACCCATGACCTCTCCAGGCAGCTGTTTGGAGTAATCGAGCCAAGAACCACACATAGCGCTCCTCCATCCTGCTATTGGTCACCACACCCACGCAGCACTCAGCAACACAGCCTGAGGCTCCCTCCCCGCGGCCAGGCCTGACCTGCTGGGTGTTTTGTTTTTGGCGGCTAAGTTCATTCAAATTGGCAAAATGTTCATAGAGAGCTTGCCATCACTCAGCAGCCCCTGGCTGCTGCCTCCTCTCCTTTCTCCCCCGACTCCTGTGTCCTCTCCTGACCCGAACCTCAAACGCAACCTGACGTTCACAAAAGCTTGGACACAGTGGCTCACACTGGTAATCCTAGCACTTTGGGAGGCTGAGGCGGGAGGATTTCTTGAGGCCAGGTGTTTGAGACCAGCCTGGGCAACATAGGGAGACTGTCTATACCATTCACTCTGGTGCACGCACACCACACCCACACCCACACACACACGAAAGAATGAACAGCTCAGGGAAAAGATGAGCAAAGACAGTCGACTGCATTCTTCTGACAGAAGGGATGGCTTCCGCCCAGAGGCTGAGCCGCTCCATCCTGACCTTCAGCCTCCCGCTCCCTCGACTCTGGCAGAGTTTGATGCCCAACAGATCACACTCTGCAGGACCCAACAGCTTCGTGGCCACAGGCACTCAGCTGAGCTCTCAGCCCACATGGCTTTCCTGACGCTCACCGGTGCAGAGGAGCCAGCTGGGGGGCCTCTGTGTATCCTTTTTATTATTTCTGAAGTTCTCCAAGACGCTCAGAGTTGAATTCCTCCAGAACTCTGTGCAGACATTAGTCCAAGCAGCGGATGGCAGAGAGGTCCTTGCTAGCAAGAAACTTACAGGCCAGGTTGTCTCCCGCTCGAGCATGCCAGTGAGCAGGCACCATCCCCGCAGGGCACAGGGGTATCCTTTGAAGTGTCAAGGGACACCTGAGTGCATGCCAGACACTTAGGGATTGGAGAAAGTGCAACCCAGACTTCTGCCATCTCCGCCCAACTCGTGGGGTTGTTCATCTGTAGCAAATATCCCACATGGCTCCTGCTGGCCACAAAACACGCATTGCCATAAAAACGCCCTGGAAAAACGGGCGAGAGAATACATTCAGCATTTCATCTGCCGATTTCTTTTTAACAGCCTGGCGACGTTTCCCCTGCTCGTAACAGACGTTACCCCCTTTTCTAAGCTGCTGTCATCCACTAGGGACTTAAGGCTTTGATGCTGAGTGGGTTATTTTTTGAGACAGAGTCATGCTGTCGCCCAGGCTGGAGTGCAGTGGCGCGATCTTGGCTCATTGCAACCTCTGCCTCCCAGGTTCAAGCGATTCTCCTGCCTCAGCTTCCAGAGTAGCCGGGATTACAGGTGCGTACCACCATGCCTGGCTAATTTTTGTATTTTTAGTAGGATGGGATTTCAATACATTGGGCAGCCTGGTCTCAAACTCCTGACCTCAAGTGATCCGCTCACCTCAGCCTCCCACAGGGCTGGGATTACAGGCATGAACCACTGTGCCTGGTCAATTCTGGCTTTGGATGGCTTCTTAACACAGATTGACGAGGCTGCAAATGAGTACCAGGAAGAAGTATTTAGTGGGATAAACATCTCCTGGCAACTGCCTTAGCACCTGGAGCCGGCTGGTCTTCCAGCTCATGGAGTCCCTGGGTCTCTATGTCCACCCTTCCTTGGGGGTGTCCATTTGCAGTGAGCAGAGGTGCAAGGACATGTGGGGACAGAGAACAGCTATCTACAAGCACGGAAAGCCTGGACCGTGTGGTCTTGATTCTGGGGGCTGTCCCAGCTGCTCCCTGGGCACCAGGTTTTAAGTGAGCTGGGAACCAGTGAGAGCACCGGCTGCTGAGCATCTGGACAGAGTCCATGTGGGCATCAGTCCTGAGGCCTCCCCTCAAAGGGAGGCTCAGGAGAGAAGCAGCGCAGTCCAGGCAGCCTGCCTCGGGGCCGCTCTGTGTCTTTTTTTTTTTTTGAGACGGAGTCTCACTCTGTTGTCAGGCTGGAGTGCAGTGGCTCACTGCAACCTCCACCTCCCGGGTTCAAGCTTTTCTCTGCCTCAGCCTCCCGAGTAGCTGGGACTACAGGCATGCACCACCATGCCCAGCAATTTTTTTTTTTTTTGTATTTTTAGTAGAGATGGGGTTTTACCATGTTGTCCAGGATGGTCTCCATCTCTTGACTTCGTGATCCGCTTGCCTCAGCCTCCCGAAGTGCTGGGATTACAGGCATGAGCCACCATGCCTGGCCTGCCTTCTGAATCTTAACCTCCTTGGTCACCATGTGGCGCTGCTGCCACCCACTGATGGTGTCCATGCACCTGCCCAGCAGTGGCCTGAGGGGCTCTGCAGATGCCCCAGTGGGCAGGGTTTCTCACTGTCCCCACCGCAGGACAAGGAGGCAAGTGTGGGGAGGCCGCTATCTCTAGGGCCACTAGGACTGAGGCTCCTGGCCAGCTTGGAAACAGATCCAGCACAGAGAAATCAGACTTTGGGATGGAGGCCTGTGATCTAAAGGCCATCTTATTTCTTCTCCCACTTTTTCTGGGTGACTTCTTGGTATTTGGGGTTTTTCAGTGACAGCCGGGGTGATAGGCCAGGCTGAGCCTGTGGCTCCGGGGTCCAAAGAGAAAAGAGGGCAGAAGTAAGAGAAGATGGCCTTTATTGCGGCACAAACCAAAGGGGGACTGCATGTCAACAGCTCTCCAGGAGCTGCCAAAGGCGATGGGCCCGCCCTGCCCCTGCAACAGGTTCTCCAGGGGCTAGAGCATGGCTCCCCTCAGAAAGGGCAAGGTGTGCTTGTAAACAGGGGCCCAGACAACACAGAGAGAGGAGGCAGCATCACCGGGTGCAGCTTTGCTACAAGAAAGATAGTTCTTAATTTCAAAGAGGAGACACCGCCACACCTAGCCCTGCCCTCCCACGCACTGGAAGGCTCTGGAAGTAGCTCCCGCCTGCTTGGGGAGTTGGGCCACCCACTGCCCGTGAGCTGGGCCCAGGCACACTGCAGCCACACAAAAACGCTGGCAGCTGACTCCTAATTTCAGAAACACAATTAGAAAAGAACTGGAATTTTACATTTTTCTCCCATACATTAAAAAATAAGAAAAAGTCAACATTTTGACTGTAGACCCTGGTAGGTGGCATCTGACTTTAACCTGAAGTTCTCCTTGGAATCCTTTTCTGTCGGTGCTCCGCCGTCCAGTCAGTCCCAGCGAGCAGGGCAACCACTGGGAAGACAGATACCGACTTCCCTGTCGGGGTCTGTGACCCTCAGCAAACGGAAAAGTTAACAGTGGCCTCCTGCCAGGACCTCAGCAGGAGGTTTGCTGGTGAAGGTCCTGGGTGAGCTGGAATGGGTGATAAGGCAGGCTTGCCTGGTGGTAGCCTCAGGCTGCTCCTGGGCCCCCGTCGCGTAGAGCCCTGTGGGTGCAGTGTGGGGCCCCACACCCATTCCGAGGTCATCCTGATGCATAAGAGCAGAGACCCCGGAAGAGAAACCGGCCTGCACTGTGTGACACAGGGCTCCCAGACGCTTCCCGGTGGAACCCTGCTCCCGAGGACACCTTGTCTCACTCCACGGAACCCTTCCCCCAGCACCTCCTGGAAACACAGCAGCCAGGAACAAATTCTCCATGCCAGGAACGAAGCCCTTGGCTAAACTGGAGACTCATCAGTGCACGGATGGTGGTGAGGGGTGAGGGCAGGGCCTGGGGCAGTGCTCAGCCCGGGGGACACCATCACTGTCCTGCTCTGACCCACAGGTGGGAGGAGGACGCTGTGCTCCCGGAGTGTGAGGCCGGGAGGATGGCTCGGGAGGACAGAGGCCTGGGGCTGAGGCTATGCCCAGAGCTGGTGTGGGGAGGGGCATGGGGGCCTTTGCAGAAGCAGCTCAGAGAACTGAGGTTGGAATCCTGCCCCAAGCACAGGTTTTGGGGACAGCGAGTGCCTAGACAAGGCAGGTAACGTGGCAGCCGCCGGGCTGGTCCAGAAACAAGGTGCTGAAGACGTCGTTGAAGAAGGTGGGGTGGTACCTGCAGGCTCGCTCACAGTCGGGGTTGAAGTTCACCTCCAGGATCTGCGGCTGCATCACCCGCTTTCCTGACAGCAAAGAGCGCAGCAGAGTGTGAAGGCTCGTTGGCTTCACTCTGCAGGGCCAATGGCCTGGGGACCCAGCAAAGGCTGGGGAGGCTGTGAACCTGGGCCCTGATTCCCAGGGGATGAGCAGGGCAAGCCCGGACCTAGAACTTGGGTCTCTTGACTTTGTTGGGGAGGCCTGGCCTGACATCTACTTCTCCAGGAGAGGCCAGGGCTGCCTCTAGCCCTAGGGATGACAGCCTGGCCCTTTAGGCTTGGATGTTCAGTTTAGTCAAAAAAAAGCAGACATGCAGCAGCGGTGGAGAGCGTGTGGGTCTGGCACAGGGGAGGCCAGCCAGGGTGGTGTGGGTTGGGGTCAGGGTGCCTTTCACACGGGTCTCCTGTCCTGTGAGCTCTTCCCCGACACAGAGGCCCAACCCGCAGCTCGTCCCCTACAGTCTCTGCACCGCAGGCACTTCCCCCAACCCAGATTCCTGGCTGATTCAAGCCAGAGGACAGCCTGGGGCAGCCCCCTGCCTTCTCCAGGCATGTGGCTGGCTGGCAGAGGGGGCGCCTGCTGGTTTGGATCAGGAGATGGGGCGCCCCTCTTACCATCTGGGCCGTTGTCCCACTTCAGCATGAGGTCGACAGCATACATGGCCCGGGATGAGGGGTAGTCGCAGAGGCCCAGGGGCGGCGGCTTGGCACAGGCCACCTGAAACAGCTCCGTGAAGGCCCGGAAGATCTCAGCCTGGGGACCGAGGAGGCTGAGTCATGAGGCCTGCTCAGACAGCCTCTCAATGGGGGTCTGCTGCCCCTGTCCAAGCCCCGGGCCCCACATGGGCCAAGTCACCCCTTCCCACATCTTCATGTCTCTAGACCTCACCATGGCCGCCTCCACCCAGCACCTGCCCTCTTACTCCTGGCGCCCACCTTCTGCAAATCTGCCCATCTCCTGCCTCAGACCCCCTGTGGCTCCCCACTGCCCCAAGGAACTCAACACAGCACCCAGAATGCTGCTGCCGGACATGGGGGCCCAGCCTACGTCTCCAGATGACTGGGATTCCGGGCTCAGGCAGTGCTGCCGTCCTCTGGCTGTCCCAGGGGTGCCCCACCAGCCCCTCCAGCTCCCTCCCTCTCAGGAGCACCCACAAACACCCACGGTGGAAGGGAGGGGAGCCCACGCTGTCTCGCCAGCCTCTGGGGAGAAGGACCAACTGCAGAGGACAAAGGTCCCTCCCAGCCCACACCAGCCGAGAGGGAGGGGAGCAGCTCCTGCAGGCCCCCAGCCCGGGACCCGCCCCACTGGCCTGCGATGGCGTGCAGGACAGGACTTACCTGGACGTCCGTCCAGGGAAATTCTGGGTATTGCTTCTCAAACTCGGGGATGAACTCTTCACAGTGCACCTGCAACAGACACAGGGCCCATCACGCTCTGCACAGAGTCCAAATGATGCTGCAGAGTCCAAATGATGCTGCACAGAGTCCACATCACGCCCCGCAGAGTCCACATCACGCCCCGCAGAGTCCACATCACGCCCCGCAGAGTCCACATCACGCCCCGCAGAGTCCACATCATGCCCCGCAGAGTCCACATCACGCCCCGCAGAGTCCACATCACGCTCCGCAGAGTCCAAATCACGCAGGGCCCATCACGCCCCGCACAGGGTCCATCATCGCGCCCCGCACAGGGTCCATCATCGCGCCCCGCGCATGGCCCATCATCGCGCTCCGCGCAGGGCCCATCAGGGCGCTCCGCACAGGGCCCATCACGCTCCGCACATGCCCTGCCGGGCTGGGGAACAGGCAGCCTGCCACTGCCTGGACCAGAAGCTTCTGACATTGGGTGGGGGTTCCAGGAGCAGGCAGCCAGCCCCAGTCCCTCAGGGTCCAAACAGAAGGTAGGAGATGGAGTCTGGGCCCCGGGTCTCACTGCGTGACTCTGGACGAACGGATTAACTTCTCTGAGCCTGTTTCCTCCTCTGTGAAGTGGAAAAATGTGCCCTGCCCAGTAAACTGACTTTGCCAGGCAGCTGTGAGGCTCACGCGAGACACTGAACATCGCGAGCTCCAGAAACTGCAGGGCCTAAGCCAGCACCCAGCCTCACACTCAGCTCAGTACAGTGCGAAGGAGGCGGAGCTCAGAACCCCCCGCGGGGCCCGCCTGTGCCCCGGCTCAGCACCAGCTCGGAGTGCTTGAGGGACGCAAGATCTTTTTGGCCTCAAGACTTTACCCAAAACACACCCGATGAAGGTGGCAGTCGGCTCAGGTTTCTCCCAGTAAAGGACAAGCCAGGAAAGGCCCCTACGCAAGCCCGCCATCCACGCCATGCTGGACGCACGTCCCCAGGCACAGGGCTCCAGGAGAGGGCTCTTGGGATGATCCCCGCAGTACAGAAGGGAGGGGCTGGTAACCTGAGGGCGACTTCCAGCAACGTCCTGGGGCCCTGCTGGGGGCTCTGGATCCTAGGGAGTAGGCTTCAACACAGGCAAGGATAAGAGGGACAGAAGCAACAGGACCGCTGGGCCCCGTGAGGAGTGTGTGCTGGTACAGTCACCAAGGCATGGTAGGGCCCTTTCTCCAAGTCCTCCTAGAGGACTCCTCAGACTTGGGCATGGACAGGTGCCTCCACGCGTGTGCACGTGCCATGGTTTATTGTTAGCGAAGACCTTGGATAACCACCTGCAGCCGCACTTAGCAACAACCCTGAGCCTCAAAACACGCCACTCAGCCAACAAAGCGAGCTGCAGAAGGATCTGTTCCGTAAGATGATATTTACATAAAAACCTAAGTAGGAGGCCGGGCGTGGTGGCTCATGCCTGTAATCCCAGCACTTTGTGGGGCTGAGGCAGGTAGATCGCTTGAGTCCAGGAGTTTGAGACAAGCCTGGGCAACATGGTGAAACCCTGTCTCTACTAAAAATACAAAAAAATTAGCTGGGCATGGAGGCACGTGCCCGTAGTCCCAGCTACTTTAGGGGGCTGAGGCAGAAGGATGCCTTGAGCCCAGGAGACTGGGATTGCAGTGAGCCGAGATCACGCCTCTGCACTCCAGCCTGGGTGACAGAGTGAGACATTGTCTCTCAACAAAACAAAACAAAACAAAAAACTTAAGTAAGCAAAATAGCAGCTTGAATGGTCAGGGACATACTCATGCTGAAAAGAATCAAGACACGCCTGGGAATGACAGCCGGGGAGCGTTGGGGCTGGCTGCATGGGGAGTCCAGGGCGCCTGCAAGGCTGGTGATAGGCAGGGTGGGGTAGGCATTTTGTGCATCTGAAACACTCATTAACCAGCCAGGTCACAGAGGCCTTCCAGGACTTCCTTTCTTCCTTCCTGTACCCAGAGCTGGCCTCTCGCTTCTGTGGAGGCTGTGCCTACCTGTCCCTGTGCACTGGCTGGCCACCTCTGTTTCTCGCCCCCACCTTGGAAGGGCCTTTGTTCAGATGCCCCTGAGCTCCAGGTGCTCAGATGGTGGAGCTGCCATTCACTGAGTGCCCACTGCACAGGGCACTGCTCAGCACTGTGCACCAGAGAGGACAGGAGGTCCTAGACCCGGGCAGGGTCACGGGCCAGCAGGCAGCTGGACCAGGTGGGGCCTCTCAGCGTATGCGTCTCTGTGCCCCCGGCCCTGCCTGCCCTGGCGCTCACAGGGTGGTGTGCTTTTCCGGTTGAAGTGGCGGTGAGGATTAAGCCCTGGCTGGGAACACACTGTCTCAACCTGCTGCTGGCCACATCCCCGTGTCCGCATCATCTCAAACACAGCGAGTACCCGGAGGCCTACCTGAGACAACACAGAGCCCAGCCCGGCTCATCGTGGCAGGGCTGACAATCACCTTCCAGAGCAGGAACTCAGGAGGCGGCTCCTGGGACCGGCCCGTGTGCCAGTCCTCCCAGGAGGCAGTGTGGGCGGGGTGGGGTCTGGGTGTGCCCTGGCCTCCGTGTGAACCTGCTCTGCACCTCCCTCAGGCCCTACCTGCTTCAGCACCACGTCCGGGTCGTAGTTCATGACTGTGAAGTGCTTCTCATAGTCATCTAGGTCATTGAGTGCGAAAGCCCTGGAAGACAAGCGCGTGTGGGTTCTTGAGCCAGCGTTGTCCCTGCGAGGGAGGTGCCACCCACTCAACCTTCCCAGCTAGGGGCTAAGGGCTTGGGGCAGGACCACCTGCTGCCCCGGCGGGAGCCTGTTCCCTTGTTTGTGTGGGTGGGGGAGCCCCACGGCCTCACTGAGCTGGGGTGGAGGTGAGTGAGATACTAGCTGTGAAGTCTCTGCAGGTCCATAAAAACGGCACCTGGTTCTTTTACAAAGAATGTTCACATCCATTACTGTGGGCAATGCCAGAACTCTGATGTGGGCAGGGCAAGTCACCGCCAACTACCACGAAGGGAGACAAGCTCCAAGGGCCGCTCGCGGGGTGAGTGATGGAGGGCACCTTCCAACTACACTTTCTGATTCCAAAAAGGGCCCATCGCCCACCCGCTACCTCCACCCGGTCCCCCAGCTCCCTGCCCCTGGACCCAGCCAGCCCTCCACTTACCGGTTGGAGAAGCGCAGCCAGAACACATCGTACACGAACAACCGCAGGGGCTTCACGGACCGCAGCAGCACGACGTAGCGGATGTCAAACTTCACCTTTCCCACGTCTTCTCGAAGGAACAATACAGGACTTTCAATGTACTTGGACACAACCTGGAGGACACAGGCGCAAGCTCACTGGTGGCCCTCGTCTCCCCTCTGCTGGGCCAGGACAGAGCACTCTGGGGCTCCTGAGCACACAAAACCACGCGGGGGCAAAGACAGGGCTGCACTTGACTCCTCCTTCTGCCTCTTCAAACCTGCCGAGGTTGCCGCAAAGTCTTTATTTTGAGACAGTCTCGCTCTGTCGCCCAGGCTGGAGTGCAGTGGCGTGATCTGGGCTCACTGCAAGCCCCGCCTCCCGGGTTCAGGCCATTCTCCCGCCTCAGCCTCCTGAGTAGCTGGGACTACAGGTGCCTACCACCATGCCCAGTTAAGTTTTTGTATTTTTAGTAGAGACGGGGTTTCACCGTGTGGGCCAGGATGGTCTCGATCTCCTGACCTTGTGATCTGCCCACCTCGGCCTCCCCAAGTGCTGGGATTACAGGTGTGAGCCACTGTGCCTGTGCCTGGTCCTTTTTTTTTTTTTTTGAGATGGAGTTTCATTCTGTCACCGAGGCTGGAGTGCAATGGCATAATCTCAGCTCACTGCAACCTCCGCCTCCCAGGTTCAAGTGATTCTCCTGCCTCAGCCTCCCAAGTAGCTGGGATTACAGGTGCCCGCCACCACCCCCAGCTAATTTCTGTATTTTTAGCAGAAACGGGTTTCTCCATTTTGGCCTGGCTGGTTTCGAACTCCTGACCTCAGGTGATCTGCCCACCTTGGCCTCCCAAAGTGCTGGGATTATAGGCGTGAGCCACCACGCTCTGCAGCAAAGTCTTTATATCCATTTTTAATTGAAATGGAATATAAATTCTCACCCATAATTCCATCCACCCCCACCCCACGGCCTGAAGTCTCCATTCCAATCCTCCTTGTGGTGCATTTCCTGCCAGCCTCTGACAAGGTATACAGCCCAGGCGGATTCTGTGCCCTGCAATCCCGATACTGCCTCTGGATGTCCCCTCACTACGAATCTTTACCACGGCTCTGAGAGGCTCCTTGTCCAGGCTTAGCCACCTCATCCTGCTGGGCAGCCATACCTGGCACGCTATGTGGTAGGGACTTGGAGGGTAGACGCACCCAGGACAGTTCTTTTTTTAAAGACAGGGTCTTGCTCTGTCACCCAGGGTGGAGTGCAGTGGCACGATCACAGCTCACCGCAGCCTCAATCCCCTGGGCTCAAGTGTTCCTCCTCCACTTCCCAGAGTGCTGAGATTATAGGTGTAAGCCATCTTGCCCAGCCTGGACCTGTCCATGAGGACCATGACACTTGGTCCCCTCTGCCCCACCTCTCACTGTCCAGCCAGGGCCCTAAGCTCCGGGGCTCCTGGGCTGCAAGGCCCACCTTTGGGGTGCTCTCTCGGTGCCGGATGATGCTGTGCAGGCTCTTGGTGACGTGGGTGTCCAGGCTGCGAGCCAGATTCCAGGGCTTGCAGATCCAGTGGTTGTCCTCGCCCCTGGGGAGCAGAAGGGCTATCTGGGTGGCACCTGGGGCCTGTGTTCCCAGATGGTGCCACCCCAGGACATAGCGGCAGAAGTGGGTGGCCCACTTCTCCTTGGGAGCTGAGTGGGCACCAGAGAGGAGCTGTCAGAGGCAGGGGCTTGGGGAACGAGGAGGGGTTGGCCAGAGCCCAGGGAGCTGCGCTGCGGTGGAGAGGACAGCCCCAGCAAAAGCCTGGAGAGGTCCTGCAGTCCATGAGGCCAGTCGTGACATTTGGGGCCCAGAGCTCGGCTCCCGCACCACGGTTTCCACAGTGGGTGCTCACGGAGGAGCAGGTGGACACAGAGGCTGGGCTGGGGGAAAGGGCCATGGAGCGCGCCGATGCCGTGTCTGAGACTTACCACCTTTCCCGCTGCTGGAAGTAGCTGACAAACTGGGGCAGCTCGGTGCGCAGGTTGAAGGTTCGGGGCAGCCAGGGTGGGCCCTCGGGGCCGCCGGCCCGGCGCGCTATGGAGGCCAGGCAGTCCTTGACAGTCAGCAGGTTTTCGCAGGGGAACTGGTTCAACAGCACACCCGGCCTCTCCTGGCTGAGTTTCCTGCAGGGTGGAGGCAGGCGCGCCAGCTCAAGGGGAGGCCGGCAGTGCCTAGAGGCCCTGACTGGGAGGACTCCTGTGGCCAGAGGTGCCCTCACCTGTAGTCCTTGAAGTGTGAGAAGTTGAACAGGATGTCAGCGTCTGCCTCGCTCTGGGTGAGGGTGAAGCGCGGGTGGGTGAGGCTGCTGGCCACCTGCTGCACGTCCGTGTAGACCCTGTGGGGAGAGCCCGAGCTGGGTGACCCCGGCTCCCAAGTGTCCAAGTGGGACTCCAGCACCAGCCCTAGCTCAGGGACTCCCCTCCCTGTTTTGAAGCTAATGAGGCAGAGGCGAGTCCTGGGTTCGAGTCACGATGTCGGACAGCCCAGGTTCAGAACCTGCTCCCTCCGATCTGCCGAGGGAGGGGGGCAACCCGTACCCTTGTGACTCCTGGTTCCCCATCTTCAGGACTGGACCACACCGTCCACCTCACATTTGTCGTTAAAATTAAATGGCATAATTTGGGTGTTTATTATGTGCTAGTTATTTCCTCTCACATGGAAAAAGGATGAACCCAGGGCCTCCAATTTCACACAGGCACACCAAGGGCCTCCAATTTCACACGGGCCTCTGCCCCAGAGGAGGTGGAGGGACCTTAGGCCCTGGCCAGGTCACCACCACACTCATGTCTCAGCAAGAGCCCCTGGGCTGCCCGGCTGGGGCAGAGGCCAACAGGAGGAAAGCCCTCAGGCCCGGGGGAGGGGACAGAGTGGAGCAGGCTGCCTGTCCCTGGCTGGACCAAATTTAGGCAGCCAAGGGGAGTACCTGGGAGCCTCAGGGAGGGGCTCCTGTGAAGGCTAAGGCGGAATCTGCTCTGCATCTCTGGGTCCTCACCTGTGCCTCTTTCCACAAGGTGTCCAGTCTGGACCTGCCAGCCTGGCCTTCCTTAACTCACCAGCCACACCTGCAGCCTCCTGGGAGGGGCCCCTCCTGGCAGCCCGGGTGCCTGCTGTAGGTGCCCAGCATGTTCCCAGCCAGCAAAGGCTCCCTGCTTTGGGGAGGGCCAGCACGCACAGGCCTGGCTGGTGTCGGGTTCCAGGACTGGATGAGCATGGCATCCGGGTAAGTGGAGCAGCCCCATGGCATGCAGGGTTGGTAACGGGACCCCTTGGTGCCCAGAGGACGGGGTGGGATGGGGACCGGTGGTGGCCGACGCTTCTGCCCAGGGGACCCCTTTACCCACTGCCAGTATTTCCATGGCCTATTCCTATTTTTAACTTTCAAGGATTTTTTTTTTTTTTTTTTTTGAGACGGAGTCTCGCTCT